GGGGGATATTGTGCCATTAGAATAGGTGACGTTCTTGAGCTGGACTAGAAGTAAATGATTGTTCCTAAACTGGACTAGACACAAGTGAGTTGAGAGGTGACTGTTGTAAGAACTGAACTGGTGAATGCTGTCTAATCCTTATCCGTCTTGTAACCGGTGACAGTGAGGCGAACACAGGTTGTCCCCCAGATAAGATCTCCAACAGTCACCTCTCAAGCTATGGTTTTAAACTACCTATCAAAGAAATAAAGCAAAAGAGCAGTAATCAGAAGCCGTACAACACCTCAGCTAAGATGTTATCAACACAGACATGATCAAAGCTGTGGGACTGCATTCCACATGGAATCCTGCCCCAAAACAGATACCATATGTGCAACCGATATGCACATTCCTATATAGTTTCACTGTAAAGCACATGCCAGTTAAGACAGAGCCAAAACACCCCTATGAGGGGGGTAGGGTTACCCTGTCCTAGTTTTGTGATGAACTAGGGTTTCACTATTTCAAACAAGTGGTTTCAAGCAATCCTACATAAGGGTGAGCATCCTGTCCTCGTTTGGAATAGTCACTATGGCTTACTATATGCAGCTAGGCCAAATTGTCCAAGGGGGTACCTCAGCAAGACTACCTAATATACCTCTCATACCTAATACCGAGAAGTGAAAGGAGGATCAAACGGTACATCAGTAGTCCAGATCCAAGGGTTGTGTTTCCAACATAGTAGAGCCCATGACCGGTCAACCTTTTGGCAAGCTTTTTAGGCAAGCTTCCAGCAAATTGTCCAGGAATAGCAGATGGAAAACACAGTGATTTATAGAACCATACAGATGCAATGCAAAGAACATATATATCTAAATAAAACGTCATATCATAAAGTTCAAGTCAAGTTCTCTAAATCTCCAGCAAAGTTGCCAAAAATTGTAGCTTTCTTTTCGTGCTCCTTTCGGATATGATAGCCCTACAGTTCGGACTCCCGTGGTTCTGAATCTGATTTCATAAGTGCAATATGAAATAGATAAACACAAATGAGTCCAAATCTGGCAAATTTTTTGAAAAATTGATTTTGAATCGAAAATGTCAAAAATAGACTGCTCTGCTAGATTACAGAGTCGCTACCTAAATATTTTTTTTGAAAAATTTAGGAAACCCAGGACTCATGCCAAAGGCCACTTATCTGTCATCACCAAAGTGTCTCGGTTCGAGAACATATATCACTTAAGCACTTAGCCTCATGGAAGATATTCTTGATATGGCAACAATCACACACATGCGATATGCTAAAGCAATAAGCACTCACCTAGTACTCCGAGGCAAGCCAAGGAAAATAAAACGATTAGAAAAAATTCATGATTCTAATAATGCAAATGACTAATGCAACACATACGAGATGAAAATAATAGGCTTGGCTACTAACATGGCATGTGAAATTATTTGATAGTATGCAGTTAAGCACATTTTCTTGGATAATAAACAACCATATGGGTAGAATGATGCGCCGAGCCAAATGTATGCAAAAAATGGATACGGTAAGCATGGTAATGATTTGAAAAATGTAAAACATGATACTACCATTATAAGCGGGTAAAAAAGGGAGAAAGACGTGGGGTTAGAAGACATACAATATATTCTTTAAGAAATTTAAAGAAAAGTTAATGTTAAATAGTTTCTTCTAGAATGTATGCTAAATTGCCAATATGATTTTCCATATTAATGAAAGGGTCTAGATTATCGTTTCTTCTTGTTTGTGATGTGTAATTTTAAATTTTTGAATGCGGCAAGTTGAAGTGAATGTATGTGGATGCATGTGGCTATTATTACCAAAAATATAATTAGAAAATAGTTAGGAACACTCTTATAAAATTTCACATCACTCAACTCTTAACTTTTGTTTAATTGGTTGTTGAGTTTTTGAATATGGGTTAAATTTATCTAGCGAATATTGCTCCAATAGTGTACTAACATGCCATCTCAACTTAATGTTTCTAGGATGATTTCTTACCAAGAATGTCAACCCCTTGGAACATATATTTAAATTTCTCTTCAGGTGAGTTGTGTTCCTTTTATACGATGACTTTGAGAAGCCTTTGAATCTTTGTTTTACTTTTACTATTGTCTCTTTAACTTGGCCTTAATTCTTTGGACACACGGTTAGAGATTTAGACAAAAACATGTGAGAAAAAAGGCAAAAATGGGCCGTTTGGGGGGGCGAAAATTGGAAGTAGCCTTGAGATCACCACGGTCACCTCAGCCTAGATTAAACAAACTTCTGAGAGCAAGTGGCGTGTCACTAGGAAACACAGTTAGAGAATTAGAGACAAAAATGTGAGGAAAAAATATAAAAAGTATCATTTTAATTTTTACCTTTACTTTCCTGTTCATGTTACCTAGCTACTTTCCATAGATCTTTTTTTTTTTTGGGTCCAATTTTACAATCATTTGATGTGCAAATATTTTCATAAAAACATTACCTGACATTTTTTTTTATTTTTTATTTTTTATTTTTTTGGTACAGATGGATGAACTCGTGCAACAAGCTGAAATTGTACAGGACTAGTTGGCATTTGTTTCATTTTTTGAAAGATTATATATTTATGGATGTGTATGAAAAATATTTGGGTAGACCATTAGTTATATTTTTAAATAAATGCGTATGGATAAAAATTTGAAACATTATAACAAGTACTTGTTATGTTTTAAATTTTTAAGCTAGATGGATGTGAATTGGATGATTATATAGATTACGTGACATTTTGGATTGGACTATTATGTAATTTTGAATTACTTCTAGATGAAAACTTAAAATAGTTGATGATTTTAATTAAAAAGGTTTAAGAATTGGATGATTTATATATTTTGTTGGATGTTCATGATTCAATTGATTTTGTTGGTTTGAATTATTCTTGCAACTTAGAGGTTATATTGAATTGATTGAATGAATTATTATATTTTGATAAACAAAAAGGATTGAATTGGCGATCAAAAATTGGTTTTGTTTTTTCTCTTTTGGTGACTAAGTGATTAGTCGGGAAAGACAAGTAGTATTGTTAGTCAGTGTCACACCATTAATATTTAGCAATCAAAATGTTGTTTGCAAAAGGTACATTTTGCTATTAAATAAATAGTCGGTAAAATTATTAATTTTGGCAACCGAAGTGTTTGGTCGTGAATAGGTTTATTGCCGACTAAAGTTTTAGTCACACAAATATTACTTTTGGTTACTAACATGTTTTGTGGTATGTGACTTTTGGCGACTAATATGTTTCGTTGAGGAATGTAACAATTGGCGACTAACATATTTCGTTGTGGAATGTGACAGTTGGTGACTAACATATTTAGTCGGGAAAATATCACTTTTGGCGACTAAACTGTTTTAGCTATAAAATGGTTTCGTCGCAGTAAATATATATTTAGCGATAAAAAATTTAGGCAGCAAATAGAACTTTTTTCCCGACTATTTTGTGAGGACGATATAATTATTGTTATTGGAGTTTATGTTTAATGAATTGAATTTTTATATTTTTTTAGTTGAGTGTTTTTATATATTTGGATGAAAATAGAATTTTGGCTAATTTTGCTGTTAAAGATATTTCATTATATGCACTAAGTGTTATGATAAAAATCTTTTAGTAATTGCTAGCTCTTTGATAGCATTTCTTGAATACTATGATATCCTTTTTTTCACAGCATTTGTCCATACTAGTTGATCAAATACTAGTTTGTAACAAATTGCTTCTATGATGCATTTTACAAACCTCTTGAATGCAAAAAAATATAACTTGCAACAAGAACTATGTCAACATAAAAAAAAGTGGATACTTGGATTTTATGAACAATTGATTGGCTTTCAATTGAGTTGGAATGACAAATGATTACATAATCAATTAAACAATTGATTATAAAACACTTTGTTTTTATAAATTGTCTTGTACAATTGATTGTAAAATCGATTCTTACGAATGTGTTGTGGCTTGTATTCATAATCAATTCAATTGCAGTAGTCTATTTGGACCAAGACTCTTGGCTTGTATACATAATTGATTGGCCTAAAAGAATTGGTCTATAGTGTTGGCATTCTTGCCATAGCCTAATGCAATCTCAACCAATATTCAAAGAGATTAACTAACATCAAAACACAATCTAACACTTGATTGGTAAGAACATTAGATTAGCATAACATAAAATACATTATCAAACACAAAACAAGATTATCAAAACCCGTGTACCCATTACAATACTCAAAAAAAGAAGTTTAAACTCATTTGATCCAATCATACATATTGTCAGTACAATTCAATTGTTATATGGAAACCATTGCCAAGAATCACAACCCAATCCAAAAAGATAACTCGATCTACGAAGAGACACTGCTGGAAATGAGAGTTTTAGCAGCATTTAAGGTCACAAAAACGCCATCAAAACCTTTTGTGACGTTTAGCACCAAACATCGAAGATGCGGCCGTCGCTATAACTTTGTGACGCTTTAGAAACGTCGCTATATTACTATAGACGGTGTTTTCTAAAAACGCCGCTAAAAGTTATATTTAGCGACGTTTTTAAAATGCCATCTTATCTCTTTTCGCCAAAGAAAAATCCAATTGTTTAGCGACGTTTTTAGAAACGTTGTGATAGCCTTTTTTTTTTAAAAAAAAAATTTATGCTGATTTTATGTTATTGACCTAAAAAAATACCAATAATAAAACTAAAAAGTAGCACTAATATGAAATAATAATTCCCATTCACATAGTAAAATCTTATCAAATGATAGTCCACAATCATTGTGCAAAAAAAAACATATTCATACAAATCATTTGAACAACATTAAGGAGTCACCAAAATATGATGCCCCTCTATTTGAGACAAAATAGGAATCTGGGCATTTAAGCCAACTTGATATTCATATTCTCATTCACAATAACCACATTCACATACAAATCCTTTTCCTACCATATCAACCTAGTTCACCAAAATAGGATGCCCCTTTTTGCAGTGTCATGCGCCTCTGCAATTACATTGGGAATATGAGTTTTGTTGACTTGTAATCTAGCCTCTTCATCTTTGTCTCCAATGCACTTTTTCCATTTATCTCTGTTGTTCCCTGAACTTAAAAACATGGTGGCTTATGCATTAGTTTTGGTGACATGCAGTTTTGTTACGGAATCTACCACAATTGGGTTGAATGTTGGCTTCGAGACCATTTGCCAGAAAGTGAATCCTCATCAACCCACAGCAGTTGAAGGCTTGCAAGAAAGTAGAAGCGCTTTTGGTATTTCAAACACCATTTTTTTCTCTTCACTTGCGTTCTGCCTTTCTAAAAGGTTTGAAGTACAGTAATGGTTCTTATACAGCTTCTGTTTCATCCGTTTGACGTTCTGTTTTATGTCGTCTTTACCATAAATGAAACAGTGAACTCTTGTTTTCACTGCATAATGGTGATTATTTTTGCCCTTTCGGTTTTTGGTAGAAAATGCTAACCAAATGAAGTAGTACAAACCAATTAGGGGATACTAGAGCCAAAGTTCTAGTAGTTGTGACAGATTTGCGCAGATAAGGTTTTCCTATGCAAGGCTTAGGCTCATATAGTATAGTAGTAAGAAAGGCTTGGCATTATAAAGGTGAACATAAACTTTTGACATGCACATATACTTTTTAAATTAGCATTGAAGATAACATCTCATAATCTTTTAAAAATTAAACACCTGTTTTAACAAGATTTTAGCTTCCAAAAAGTAAATTTTATTTCTTCTCTCCCACACACCTGTAGAGGGATTTTGGGAAAGGAAGAAAGAGAAGAAAAGAAAAGGACAGTACCCATGAAACCAAAACATAGGTATACACATAGAACTCATTGTGGTAGCATATACAAATAAACTTACTATGAAGCATACATTTTGGCAGCTGGGTGAACCCATTTCAATCACTTATTACAATGATTTGGAGGATTAGCAGAAACCAAGATTTTGTACCTGAAGTTTGCCAAGGTGCCATGCTCCAGAAATGCACACCACCTCAAGCGTTTTGTCATGCATGGACTGAAGATTGAAATCATCATCATGCTTATAATCATTTTGCCAAAGATCAACTCCACCCATATAGCTGCCTATGTTGAGCACAATTAAACCCTTAGCATCTTGGAGGAAAAGTTAAAAGGAAAAAATTTAAAAATAGTCCAATTGAAAAGGAAACCAGAACAGTAAAGAAAGAATACCTCTGTTGCAAGGGTGCTAATGGTTGTATCCTTCACATCCCTCAGCAAGTGCTCAACCCTGTTGAATAAAGAAGACAGTAGAAATTAAAGTTGAAGCTGATACAAAAACAAGATAATATGCACATATATCATATATGTGAATTTTTTAGAGGCACTAAGTAAGTTGGCAACTTGGCATCTTCTTTAAAATCAACAAAGAACGAGAGAAGACGCTGAGAAAAAAGAAAAAGAAGATGCAGGAGAGAGAGAGAGAGAGAGAGATGTAGCATCTATTTTAGGTTTCTATCCTAATTGGCATACCAATTTCCTTAATTTCATGAGCGTCAATTTCTGAAAGCACATGCACAAATACCTTCTGGCTTTTCTGAGTAGCATTCTGCAAACATATCCAATTGTCTTCATAAATGTACATTTCTATAGAAATCATGACTTATAATGAACTATTAGCTTTGAAACTTCAAAACAATTCATAAAATACACAGCCCAGTGCAATCATTACTACATATTATGAGGAAGAACACTATCAATTGATTAGAGAACATAGTTGCCAGAAAATGGATATAAGAGCATGCCTGGAGATTCAGTATGACTTGGCGAAAATTGCAACTTCCTCTGCTGGATTGCCCGTCATCAAGCATGTCTTACTTCTGCCTTCGGGCTGCTCAAAAGGAAAACACCAAATTGTTGCCCCTGTTTCTTCTTTCACCCTCAACTCATCTTTGTCACTGTGCCACCAAATGTGTAGTGATCTTAGAAGTACACAATTGCATTATGATAAACATAAACATTAACCCTAAAAACCAAACCAAACAAGCTTTGTGCTCATGTGGGGTCCCCTACATTGAATTCATTTTTGTCATTCTGCTCTATCACCATATTGGTATTTCATGTTCATAAGGATCTGACAGATTTTTACATGTTGTCTGTGTAAAAGACACTAAGCACACCAACCCTATAAACCCCATATATACATGGTCGAAAAAATAACAGGCAAATAAACAAACAATTACCTTGCAGACCACGGACCCCTTGCCCATTTCCCCTGACTAATTGCATCTTTCAACTCATTATATGAGTTCACATCCACAATGTTACTGCAGAAGAATTATAAATGTGTTAAGGGTATTATCCGGACAATATACCAAAATTCAACAGATACAAAGCAAGGAAAACAAACTATCAAACACAGCAGAAAGGCAAGGATTTGGTGAACAAATTCAAATGACTGAAAGATGGGAAGCAAGAATACAAACTGTCCAATACAAAGAAGAGAGGCAAGCAGTCAGTGTACCATGCTTAAGGAAACACAATTTTGACTTCAAAACTCGTATGTGCTGACTACATATATCCATTATGTAATCAAGCAAGTATATGATCCAATCTAACTAGATCTAAAGCTAGCAATATCTTCAAGTTTACAAGTAAGCATAAAGATTCTAACATAACACTTGAGGTATTTAAAATCTGTTAAAGCAGGAAAAGAAAAAAAGAAAAAAGATAAATGGACATTATGTGAAAACAACAAATAGAGAAATATACAAATTATGACTTAAAAGGAGAAGAAAGAGGAAGCCACCTTATTGGTAGACAGAAAGTATTAGAATACCTTGCTGAAGTACCGGTGAAGCAGGATCTCCTTTAGCAAACCAGACATGCCATAAAAATATAATAAACTTGACATCACCTAGAGATTAGATGTAAAATGGATTTAGTACTAGAAACCTTCACCTGGATTTTTTTACAGCAATAGACTTCCCTAATAGTGGAAAAATGTTTGGGTAAAGCATGCTTCCACTCCACACATTTTTACATGAAGATTGGGTTTTTATGTATTGTATTTGGTGCGACGTATGATTTTCTTGTTATTGAAAGTTATAGTCAATAAAAATCCTAGAAATGAGCCCATGATGAGCAATACTCTAAACCATTTACAGCTAAGAAGGGAACACTGCCAAGATCAACCCCACCCTAGTTGAAACCCAAAGGCCCTCAACATAGCCATAACAATGATGCAAATTGCAATAGGCCATTTTTAAAAATATTATTTATATGTAGGAAAAAGAAAAATTGGTAAGAGGGTAACAGGGGAAAGGGAAGTAGTTTTAACAAAACGACTCGAACCGGACATCACACTTGATATAATTAAAAAAAAAAAAAAACACCTTATCCATTAGACGAACAATTATAGATCATTTATAATTACCATTTGCTTACACGTTCTTTCATGCCAATTTGTATCTATGCTCTAGAAATATTTTCTCCAAATTCTTCCCTAGGGTGCAGCCTAACTTCCTCCCATAGATGTTTAAAATAAAAATTAAAATAAAAAACTAATTTATGAAAATTCAAATTTAATCTTGTCCAAAACAATCATCTTTTCCCCAAATTAAGATAAAAATCCAGTCCAACTGGTGGTGAGAGAACCTAGTAGGCAATAGGATTGCCACCACTGTAAATGGACAAATATGAACAGGGATATTAGAACAGGGAGGGGAGGGGGCTAAAATCACATTCCATTATGATGTGAGGGCCTACATGTATGGGGGCTATACTGTCATTGGAATTATAGATTGAGCATTTAAACTTCTTCCTCCAATTTTTTTTTTTAATTTTTAATTTTTATTTTTAAATTGTTGGTGGGGCAAATGGGATGTTGAGGGAGTTACCTTAGCTCGGTGGCCTAATGTTTCACAAAAAAAAAAAATATATATATTAAAAATTCTTATTGTCCAAAGTCCCAATTGTTCAAAAACTAGAAAGATAAGCTCAAATTTTGATTTTTTAGATAAAGTCTCAAAAAATCATGGGCTGCTAGCCTGCTACCATCTGTAACTTCCTATTGTAATTTCAAAATTAACCAAATTTGTTATGCAAATGCAGAAGGTGAAATCACTTTAGCAGTTACATAAGCAAATAATCAACATGAAACAATCTCTAGGGGAAGTGATATGGAAGGGGCTAGTTTGGAGCTTTGGTATATAATCTATATTTTCATTTTCTTTCTTTCTTCCGAATTGGAATTTCCTACAGAAGACAAAACCCAAAAGTTGTGACTTATTAGTGAGACATAGGTTGAAAAGAAAAGAATAAAAGTCTCATATTTTAGATGATCCACATTCCTCAAAACACAATTATAGTACATTGAAAATGCTGTCAAGTAAAGAGCAAACATATATTTGATTCTAACACTAGCAATAACAAAATCAAGAAACAGGACTTGATCTGTTTTGCTTATTATTCATCCTTGTCAGAGGCATAATAAAGTAAACATAATATTTATTCTAAAAGGAGATTAAACAACAAACCATTTCTTGATTTCAATCTTTTAATCCATAAAAAGTAATGACACTTAACAGGAAGAGCATGGGATCTAATATAAAAAATTATATTGACAAATAAACTAATTAAATAATGATTGCAACTGCTAATCAATGAAAAGTTTAATTGATTAATAAAGTAACAGTCATGCTGTGTTAAAAGAAAAATGAATATATATATATATAA